AATAAAATTACACAGAATATTTATCTGTCAAATCAGAAGTAAATGAAATGTTAGAAATTAGAATCAAGTGTGCAGCATTGTGCAAAGTACTCATTATCCATTCCCTCAGCCCTCAAAAACACCCTGGAGGTGTAACTGAAAGATGAGAAAAGGAAGTCTTGGGTCAGTCCATATACACAGTCAGCATCAGAGCCAGAACTTGACCACACTCAACACACTCATAAAAAACAAAACAAAACAACAACAACAAAAACCCCCAAACCTCTCAGCAAATATAAAATAAAAGGTTAAGCCTTAATGTAAATAAAGGTCATCTACAAAGGTCATCACACTTAATTTGTAAAAACTGAATGCTTGCCCTTTAAGTCTGGGAACAATATAAAGATGGCTGTTCTGGCCGGCGCGGTGGCTCACGCCTGTAATCCTAGCACTCTGCGAAGCCGAGGCGGATGGATTGCTCAAGGTCAGGAGTTCACAACCAGCCTGAGCGAGACCCCGTCTCTACCATAAAAATAGAAAGAAATTAATTGGCCAACTAATATATATAATATAAAAATCAGCGGGGCATGGTGGCTCATGCCTGTAGTCCCAGCTACTCGGGAGGCTGAGGCAGGAGGATTGCTTGAGCCCAGGAGTTTGAGGTTGCTGTGAGCTAGGCTGACGCCATGGCACTCACTCTAGCCTAGGCAAGAAAGCCAGACTCTGTCTCAAAAAAAAAAAAAAAAAAAAAAGATGGCTGTTCTGATAACTTCTACTTATCATTGCACTAGAGGTCCCAAAGAGTGAAATAGATAGTAAAAAAAAAAATCAAAGATATGAAGTTTGGAAAAGAAGAAGTAAAATGTGTTCATTTATGGGTGACACAATCAAGTGTGTAGGAAATTCTAAGAAACCAAACCAAACAAAACAAAAGCAAACAAAAATTCTACTAAAGGTTCAAAGATTAAGGCCAATACATAAGAATCAATTAATTTCATTTTTGTATTTTATCAGTAAACAATTGGAAAGTGAAATTTTAAAAATTACTATTACAATAGCATCAAAACCAAAACATTTACAGATACATTTAGCAATATGTATGTAAGACTTGTACACTCAAATCTAATAAACAAATGCTGAGAGAATTCAATGAAGACCTAGATAAATGCAGAGGTACATTATGTTCATGTATTGGCAAACTCAATATTGCTAAGATTTTAATTTTCCCCAAATTATTTATAAATCTAATATAAGCCCATTCAAAATCTTTGCAGTGGGCTTCTATGTAGAAATTGGCAAACTGACACTACAATCTGCATGAAAAAATACATGGTCTCTAAGATAGTCAAATCAATCTTGACAAAAAAAGGAGGAAGATATCTAGCATCTGATTTCATGAGTTACTTTAAAACTGCATTAATCAAGATAAAGTAGAATAGGATTAAAGACAGACAAACAGATGAACTGAACAGAACACGGAATGTGTAAATAGATTCACACTCATAAAATAAATTGATTTTTGGGCCAAGTTTTCAAAACAATTGAACAAATAGATTTTTTAATATGATGCTAAAACAACTGGTTACCTGTATGGAAAAACAAAACAAAGCGAAACACTAAATTTTAGCCCATAGTGCACACTATAAAAAAATTGAATGGATCATAGGCCTAACTATAAAAGAAAAATCTAATCTTCCAGAAGAAAACACAGGAGGATATCTTTCTAACATGAATGTGGACTGAGATTGCTAACACAGGATTTAGAAAGCACTAACTAGAAAGAAGAACTTAATAAAACAAATTTCCCCAAAGTTTTAAAAATTCTGCTAAAAAATGAATTTTTACACTGTGTAAATATTTACAAGTTATTTATCTGACAAAGGATTTTTATTCAGGAGGGGTGTGTGTGTGTGTGTGTATTCACATGTATGTATATGGATATATATTTATATCCTAAATATAGATATATATTTATATCCTAAAATACATTAATTTGAAAAACAAATGACCTAATAACAAAATGTGCTGAAGATTTTAATGGACACTTCACAAAAGAAACCATTAATTAATGATCAATAAGCCCATGAAAACATGCTTAATATAAATAGTACCCAAGAAATGCAAATTAAAAAAAAATGTCATACTACTTATCTATTGGTATGGCTAAAATTTAAAAGTTTGACAACTCCAAAAGTTGAGGAGGAAGTAGAGGACCTGGAATTTATATGCATTTCTAGTGGAAGTGTAATATGGCACAAATTTTTTGGAACTAGGTTTGGCAGTTTCTCATAATGTTAAACAAACACTTTGTCTTAGTTCCTATCACTCTTCTATTATTAATATATAACAACTGCATGTCTAATTTGTTTACATTAGCTGCCTCTTCTTTAGTATTTTGCTTTAACTGACTACATGAAATTGTGCTATCAATAGAGACCTAACCCGGTGAATTTATCTCATTCTAGGCATTACCTTTATATATATATATATATCTTTTAATGAAGTATATAGCAGGCTTTGTTAATGAAGACAGAGAAAGACCCAAACATATAACGTCTGAATGTGACCCAGATATCACCTCTGAATTTCAGCATTAGCTGGCCCCGAATAGAAACTAAGTAAACAAATCCACCACCCTTCTACTACTACTATACACACACAGATATGACTGAAAGGTGATTATATGTCACCTTTTAGCACAGATCACTTGTCTAGTGGATCCAATTTGTCACTTCACATTCCTGATGCTGTCCATACTATATTTAGATCAGGGGCTTCTGTGAACAGGTATCTGTACATAGCTCTGGTGGGCAGACTTGTGCTACGCTCCTACATTCAACATTATTTTAATTAATTGTTTTGATTCTGCCTATTTGACAATAAAGTATTACTTTATGTCATTCTGCATCCCCAAAATACATGCCTCAGAAGATGAGTCCCACAAAATTTTCCATACTTGAGGAATCTAGAATCAAATATATTTGACAACACCCTGCCATTATAATCCACCCCCCTGCAGATATCCATATCAAATGTTAATATATTAAAAACTCTAAGGGATCCTGAACTAAAGTAACTCAATTAATTTTGCATAAGGTAGATTTTAATAATAATTATTTCACTATAAAAGATTTTGTCAAATAGCATCTATGAAAAATTACATTAATTCAGCATGTAATATATATGTATATGTGCCACTAACTGTGCTGAGAACTTAAAAACAACCTTATGAGGTAGTGGTATTATTTTGTGTACTGTAAAGAAATTGAGGCTAAGGGAGATTAAGTGACTTTTCCAAGGTCATAGAGTTATGATGCACAGAAACCGGGATTTCAACACAAGCCATCTGACTCTAGAGTTCATATAATACACTGTAGTACAATAATGATTCTTAGCGGTGTTCTCAGGAACTAATTTTGGGAAATAGCCTTACATCATGTACTTCAGTGCTTTCTCTTTACATTGGGTTCTGTGGAGCAGAAAAAGCAATGAACTATCCTGAACTGATCCACTAAGAGTTCTTAAGAAACATATACATTTAAGGCCTTTTCTCTTTACTTTCTAAATTATAATGAAATATTGAGGTGAATTCTGTTTTTTCATAAGCTTTGAAAAAAGGATTAAGTCCCTTTGCAAATGTAACAATTATTAGGTATGTGTTTCAATTTTGATATAAATATTATAGGCTCTGACACTAGGACACAGTGTCAGAGTATTCTAAACAGAGTATTCTAGGACACAGTATGTCAGGAGTATTCTAAATGACCAGATTTAATGTGTGATAAGTCATTGTTACTTTTCTCCAGACCATTGAAAACATTCTTTTTTTTGAGACAGAGTCTCGCTTTGTTGCCCAGGCTAGAGTGAGTGCCGTGGTGTCAGCCTAGCTCACAGCAACCTCAAACTCCTGGGCTCAAGCAATCCTACTGCCTCAGCCTCCCGAGTAACTGGGACTACAGGCACGTGCCACCATGCCCGGCTAATTTAGTAAATTAGTTGGCCAATTAATTTCTTTCTATTTTTATAGTAGAGACAGGGTCTCCCTCAGGCTGGTTTTGAACTCCTGGCCTTGAGCAATCCGCCCCCCTCGGCCTCCCAGAGTGGTAGGATTACAGGTGTGAGCCACCGTGCCCGGCCTTTATTGAAAACATTCTTGAAGGGACTGTGGGATTCTGTATTAGGTGAGAGACCCAAAGAACATTTTAGACACAGTCTGTTTCAGGAGCAGCAGCTCACACAAGAAGGTTTTACATTTGTATTTATTGTAGAAAAATTAGTAAAATAAACATAGAAATCATTTTTACATCATTTAAAATCATAGTTTGAATAATTTTTATTTTAGCAGCTGTGGCTAGTGGTATATTATGAACCTGCTTGAATATTGATACATAGTGTTTAAAATTATATATTAAATTTGCATATTTTTCTGAGAATAAGCATTTTATACCTTACTTAACTACTTGTATACAATTAGATAGTTGCTATTTATAAAGCTTCATTATTATAGATAATGCTTTTAAGAATATCAGTAGATATGTTATTCTCTTTCTCTGAAGTTATTTGTTCAGGAAAAATTCCAAAATCATTAGGTCAATGGTATGCCCATTTTTATGATTCTTGAACTCTGCCATCAATGATTTCTAAAAGGGTCTTTATAATTCACCAACAATATGTGTCTCTATCAGTTTTATTATATCCTTGGCAGGTTTGAATATTTTATTTTTCATTTTTTGTGATTATATAGATATACAATTGTGCCGCATTACTATAATTATATGGAATTTTTTTAGCCATGTTTGGGCACTCAGGTGCTACTAACACTATCGGAAAAAATATTTTTAGTATCTTTACACAGATGGAAATTTTCTCTTAAGACTTTCCATTCAATTTGATTCATTACTGTGTGTCAGATGTTGTGCTAGGTGCTGGAGCTCTCTTGTTCTCAGTCCCTCTTATTGTCCTCATTCACCACAATGTTACATTTGGGCTTCACGAGTTCATCCGCTGAGTGCATCCATTACCTTTCTGTTGCACCTTGGCAGCTTTGTCAACTTCCCCTTTGGCATTTCTAGCATGACAGACGTAGGTGCGCTTGAGGTCCTCAGAGGTAACTTTCTTGATGCTCAAAGTCTGAGTTCTTGTTTCATCTTCTGTTCTAGTGTGACTTATACTAGACATAGGGGGGAAAAAATCAAAGCATATGTGAAACTTAAGGGCTGCGCACTGTGCATGAATCAGACAAGAAGCAACCACGGAGTCACCCTGGACGAGGGCAGAGGGAACGTTGATAAGCTGTGCTGCCTGGAAAGCAGTGGTTATGAAAGGGGAAGAGCAAGATTCCAGTACTGTACTTTACCATCTGCACTACACACTACCCCAATGTCTAGAACTCTATCAAATCCCAGTGCTGACTTCTTAGGATAGCTATCTCTTCAAAACAAAGGGTATCCTTTGCTTAAATTTCTGAGACAGGATGCCCTATTAGTTTGAAGAGAAGCTTTGGGGGCCAGACCCATTTGGGTTTTGATCCAGATTTTTGTCATTTACTGGATATATACTTTGGGATGGTAACTAATCTTTCTATGTCTTGGGCTCCTATTTTGTAGAAAAGGAAAGTAGTAAGGCCCCTCCCCCCAGTGTATTTGATGGATTAATTTACCCAAGAATTCTGAGATTGAGTATGTTAATGTATAAATGTTAGAACGATGCTTAAGAAATATTAATATAGATTATTATTGTTATCTCACAGGAATAGCTGATGCATTTCAGTGATTCTTAAAGCTTGGATTCTAAACACAGGTCAACTATTTTGGTCAAAATTCTGAAATCTCATGGTTAAATCCTAACATATAAAGAGGAAACTGCTCAGAGCAAGTAAACTTTGGGAAACTAAATATATCCAAATCTCCGTGAGTCAGAGATCAAGTACTTCGGGTCTAAGATCAAGATTTAAAATCCTTTTGAACTACTTTGCTCAAAGCGGAAAAAAATCTCTCTCCTACAGCTGCCTGCCATCCAGGTTCTCCTTTCTATTAGGCTTACTGTCAGTCATAGGAGTTTGGTTAAGAGCTCAGATTGATTTAGTCAAAGTTTAACTCCACTGCTATCCTATGATCACTGAATATGTGTTTCAATAGCAACAAGAAGGAATGACATGACTTTCCTTATTTTTCATTTATTTATTATTGTGAGGGTGGGAAGCACAATGTTCAGAATTCCTAAAGTGATCAATAACTTTCCCTCTAAGCCTACAGCCACATCTTTCATCAATTCCTTCTTCAAAAAGCAAACTCCAATTTCAAGAAGCCCCTTTTGAGCCTTTGAATAATGTCTGCTTCTCTGACCTACAGACCCTTGTACATATTTCTTTTACCAGAAACATTCTTTTTATTTGCTTATATAGCTAATTTCTATTCTCTCTTCAAATCTTGATATAGGTACTATATCATCGGAGAAGCACGAGTTAATCCCCTAAAACTGACTGAATCCCCTATTAAATCCTCTTATAATAGCCAATACTTCCCAGTTGTATTTATCTCATTGTATTCAAATGTCTGCTTTATCATTGTTACCCCCATAAAATGTACCTTGTTAGGGACTAAGTACCTCATGCACAGTAGAAATTTTATAATTTCTGCACAAAGTGTGAGCTTCTTAATATGAAGGACATATTTTTTGAATTCTAGAAATTCAAGTAGCTTAAGTTCTATTTGCACATAGGTGATAAAGCTTAAGATTTTGGAACGACATTGCTCACATAGTTGATCAGCTGTGAATTTTTATTAATTGTTACAGCAAACCAATTGCTTTTTGGTAATGGTATACTTTATTTACTGAGGAACCTTCTGTTTTCAAAGACCCACATTTTCCTTTCTGCCAATCCCCTTAAAAATCCAGGTTATTCAGGAATAACATTACCTGGGTTGTTACTTTAAAAGTGAGCTATATTTCTACCCATTATTTAAAATTCGAAGAATATAAATATATTTAGCTAATATTTTAAAAATCATTAATGATACATGTAACATATTGGTTATGTGAATCAAGAGGAAGGTAGGAAATACATGCTTATTGCAACACAAGAAACTAAATATAATTATTTGAAGCATAAATATATAGGTCCAGACTCCAGGATTGAGAATGAGAACACAACTACGCTGACAGACTCTGATGTATCCACCCACAACCCTATACTGTGGCCTTTTCATTTATGTAAGGTATCTATTTCCCTTGCTTCCAAATGGGTATCATAAACGTGTGAATCTTTCTGGGTTTGCAACAATAGGATGCATGCCCTATGGATGGACTGTGATGAAGATGCCCAGCCCAGGACATTCTAGTTCAATTCTTTAATGGCCATCAGGCAGCATCTCCTCCTTAGATTGCAAGTCCAATAACCCTACTTAGGGATGCAGCCATCAAAGATTTGAAAATCTTGCTGACTTCTGTTAATGATAGGAAAAATGAGAATTTTTATTTCCATTGAGCATCATGCATCAGAGTTCATTAGACTGAGAAACAAAGGTTAGTCACCCTCTTGCCTGCCCCTGTGATACCTTTCATTAATGGTTACATCAACAGAGATGTCATCCGGCTTTTTTCCATCAATGGTCCACCAAACCTCATTGCGAGAGTCCTTTAGGAAACTAAAATAGACCTTACAGGGGATGAGTAGCTCCTCACCTAAAAAAAAGAAAAGTGGGGGCGGTGGGGGGGAAGATGAAGTTAACTCATCAGTTTATAAACCTCACATGGCTATCTTGGGTCATACTCTATGGCTAGTCAGAAGCTATAAAAGTTACATGTATCTAAAACTCCACCTATGAGTAATTCTCTAGTAGACTACCATAAGGTAATGTGTCATGTTTCATTCTAAAACAAACAAAACTAAGAAAAAAAGGCCACCAACTTTATATAAAATTACCAGAGTGACTATTTTTTAATATATTCTAAAATGACAGTATTTGTTTTAAAATGCTCTGACAATATCCTTTTTATTCCAAAACCTCCACATACTGCTTGTCCCCTTTGCTATTTCCCTCACCCAGGGAAAATAGGACAACCACCACTTGAAAGACCAGGCTGAGGAGGTCCTGTTCCAAAATGTTCAAGCTATCAGTGTGCATTTAATAAATTTTAAGACAGTTTACAAATAGCAAATTCTATAATATCCTGTTTGTTTGTTTGTTTGTTTGTTTGTTTGTTTGTTTGTTTGAGACAGAGTCTTGCTCTGTTGCCAGGGCTAGAGTGCCATGGCATCAGCCTCACTTACAGCAACCTCAAATTCCTGGCCTCAAGTGATTCTCCTGCGTCAGCCTCCCGAGTAGCTGGGATTACAGGCATGTGCCACCACACCCAGATAATTTTTTTCCTGTGTTTAGTTGACTGGCTAATTTTTTTAGTAGGGACAGGTTCTCACTCTTGCTCAGGCTGGTCTCCAACTCCTGACCTTGAGTAATCCTACTACCTTGGCGTTCCATAGTGCTAGGATTATAGGTGTGAGCCACCCCACCCAGCTATAATATCCTTCTGAGATAGAATATGCGGCTAGGAAGATCCTTAGACAGAAAATAGGGATAATAACAATAGCAGCAGAAGAAACACTAGTGACGTACTGAGAACTTTGCACAACTTATTATACTGAATATTTATTTATACCCATTAATATTATTATTTAATCTTAACAAAACACTACAAGATATTTTGTAAATTTGTGTTTTATAAATGTGAAAGCTGAAGCTTAAATACGTGAAGTGACATTTCTAGGTAAAATCGCTACTAAGTAAGTGTCAGGCTAGGTTTTGACGTAGCCTGACTTTCCATTTCAATTTGCCTAGAACAGTTCTGTTTTATGCCTCCTTTTCTGGTTACCTATTAAATATTGACTGTTTTCACTCTCAAAAAGTATTTGGTTTTAGATGATAAATTATATCATCACCCTAATTTCAACTTAGGTTTATCTGACTGAGTGGTCATACTCTAGCCTCCTTCCAACACGTGGTTCTTAAGCCTCCCCACTCCTCTCCCCAAGGAAGATAAAGGGAATATAATTTAGGAATGCTTTTGTAAGTATAATATGATAGACAAAACATATTTAGGTGATTACTAAGGGTTTACCCTGACAGCAGGAAATATATTCATATTACTATACAAAGCCACAGCTAATTCTAGGAAATTCAAGCCATTTGAGGTTGCTAGACCCCTTACTGTGCTCTGTTTCTTGGCAAGGTAAATCACACTTGCAAACTCATCTTAATTGCTTTGGGGATTTTATTTTCCACCTACATTGATCACTGACTATTATTTTTAGCATATTTTAAACAAATGCACTTTTATACTTCTATGAAGGTTATCAGAATCAAAATGGAGTCATCTGTGCCAAACCCTAACCAAATGGAGTCAGTCTGGAGGCCATGAAAAGGGCTCCCATGCACATGTGCCTATTACAAAAATTACTACAAGGCACCTCTGGAAACCACTACCTGGCACAAAGGCAAGTATAACCTTACACAAAGAATACGTTTGTGAGGGCATCTTCCCAGCAATTGCCTAGTCAATCTTGGCTTGATACTACCTTTGTTATTAATTATTTCAAAACAACTCATGTAACCTTCTTTACTTTGCCTTTAAAAACACTTACCTTCTTTTGCTTCCTAGGTATGCTTATGGTTCCCCAATAGGGTGCCATGGCACTAGTCTTCCTGGATTGCAATTTGTCATTCATTATTGAATCAATGTAATTGTTTTTATGTAGAGCCATTCTGTCTATTGTTATTTAGGCTGACATCTCTCATTGGGTTTGGGATGACTTCAATGGAAAGGATATAACATAGAAAATGTTAACATTTTCTATAGCTTTCTATTCACCTGGCTGTGGTAGGCTTTGAATCAGAAGAATAACAAATTTCTTATTTGATAAGTTATAAATGATTTGTGTTTAAAATGAAAAACCACGTAAAGTAAAAGTAGACCCAGAGAACCATATTAAACATTCAAGAGTGTTCTGAATCAAGATATGCTAGTTTTATCAGTTGTTATCTATTATATAGAGTCCAGGCGTCCTCAAACTATGGCCCATGGGCCACATGTGGGTGTTTTTGCCCGTTTGTTTTTTTACTTTAAAATAAGACATGTGCATTGTGCATAGGAATTTGTTCATAGTTTTTTTTAAAACTATAGTCTGGCCCTCCAACGGTCTGAGGAACAGTGAACTTGCCCCCCATTTAAAAAGTCTGAAGACCTCTGATATAGACAGTCCTGCCTCCAAGCTCCAGCCCCTACCCTTTAATAGGGGAGAAGAAGCTTGTGCTTAGGTTGCAGCCTAAGCAAACCAAAGCCTTGTACATGATAAAGATTGCATCAAACAGAAATCTCTAATCAGCAGAGGAAGACTGCTATCAGAGGAAAAAGAGAGCAAATGCTGAATGAGAAGCAAAAAATTCCTCAGCTGGCCATGAGATCAATGAGGTAACTGATCCCTAGAGCTGTCTTGGTTTCTGAAAATATTTTGGTTTCAATTTATGCATTTCTTTACAATAGTCTTCTATTTTCTTGCACTAACTTAAATGACATTTTATTCCTTATAATTAAGGGAATCTAAATGAAATCTGGAAACTCAGCTGTAATTACCTGGTTCTTTCTCATAGACCACATGATCATTGGGTGAATGGATCTGGGGGGGCATTGCATCTTTTGGAGAGCCTGTGGTAGAGAAGAAATAAAGGGAGATGCTGTTAAATTATGGAGCCTTATTCAACAATCTGTGCTTCCATGAACAATTGCCCAATTTCCTGGCATAGTTTGTCAATTTTTCTTAAGAAGGCCCATTGTCTAACATATACTCAATCATTTAAAACAATAAAGAAAGCATAACATGATAGGAAATATAAATATTTGGTCTCTGCCTGCAGTTTGTGACACAGGTTCCTAAAACCCTTGTATTAATAATTTCCAGAGTGACATGGGTAATAGGAGCATCTTTTGTTATAATATTTGTTGGTCTCGGTTCCAAATTCTGAGCACAGGAGCTTTTAAAACCCTTGGAATTTCTGGAGTAATGAGTGAAGTGATATATATATATATATATATTAATGTGATGACCAGTGGTAAGGTTCCTGTACAGCTTCAGGATGAGGACTGGTATCCAGAAAGACCAAGACATGATTAAAGGCCTGAGACTTTCAGCCACACCCCCAAGCCTCCAGGGAGGGGAGAAAGGGTAAAGACTGAATTCATCACCAATGGTCAATGATTTATTCAATCAAGCCTATGTAATGGAACCGCCATAAAAACCCTAAGCAATGAGTTCATGAGAGCTTCTAGGCTAGTGAAGACATCCAGGTGCAGGGAGGGTGGAGCACCTCAATTCCACAGAAACATAAGCTCCTGCAGTCAGGACCCTTCTAGACCTCCCGCTATGTGTCTCTTCATCTGGCTCTTCATTTGAATCCCTTATAATATCCTTTCTAATAAACTGTTAAGTATAGGAAAAGTATTTCCCTGAGTTTTGTGAGCTATCATAGCAAACCACAGAAATTCAAGAGGAAGTGGTAGAGACCCTCAATTTGTAGCCAAGTCAGACAGAAGGTAACCTGGAGACCCACGCGGCATCTGAAGTGGGGAGTAGGGAGACTTGTGGGACTGAGCCCTTAACCTGTGTGGTCAGTGCTAACTCCGGGCAGTTAGTGTCAGATTGAAATAAATTGGAGGACACTCTGTTGGTGTCCTCGGAAAATTGGAGAATTGCTTGGTATAAAAAAAGCCACACATTTGGTGACAGAAGTGTTCGGAGCATAGAGAAAACAGTTTTTCCTTTACAAAGAAACAAATAAAACATACTGTGTATTCTCCATGTTTCAGGATAGATTATTTAACCAGTGTTCTAGCTTTCTAAAGCTTACATGAGATAGACTTCTTTTTAAAATAATTTTTTAAAAAAAATTCTAAAATTGTGGTTACAGTTTCATTTTTCTCTTAACAAGTCTACTACTATTTAATCTCTCAGTATAAAAAAAAACAATTAAGATTCTAAAGAAACAACAAAGGAATGTCAAGGGAAGGGCACAATGGCTGTATTCTAAAGGGTGTAGTTGCTATTCCAGGTAATACCTAGCTTCAAAACAAAATGTATTTTTACATTTTCTAAATGAAATAATGTTACAACCACCACCACCCACTGAGCTCGTTATAACTTTCAGACATAAAGCTTCATTTTAATCTTGGTAAAAAACAGGAATGATGGCCAAACTTAGTATGTAGTGTGTACCTTACAGGAAATTTAGACTTCATAATAAATAATTGCTTTCAGGTCTTAATCAATTGTTTCTTCTCTCTATATTTCTCCTCAATATGCCCAAAGTCTCTAGTACAGGACCTGGTTAAGTATGTTTTAAATGAATGAATAGGTAAATGGAAAACTCAAAATTATAATAATAGGTAAATGGAAAACTCAAAATTATAATTTTAAGGCCAGCACTAATGAGTCTGCCTGATGTCTACTTTTCAGATGAATGTTGACTTATGAGACTGCTGCTCCTTATAACATTCTATACTCCTGAATTAAAATAAAAATATCCTGAAAGGGTTTTTTAGTAATAATAAAAACTCACATTAAAGTTTCATTACAAGGAATAAATTATGTAATATCTATTAAAGCATCCACTACTAGTATATAATAAGTACTCAATATTTTGCAGCTTAAAAAGCAAATTCGTGTTGCTTTAAAGTTAGAAAGAACATCCTAACTCCCATCTGTTTTTGTCAACTTTAACATCTATAAATTAGTGACCAAGTATACTTGTTTCCAACTTTCCAAAATTGGATACATTTAAGTATACATATTAGAAACAACTGCCAATATGAATATAAGTTAGATTATTTATTTGACTTCTAAAATCCATTCATGTTAAATTCTAAATTTAGTTTGTTTTTTTTCTTCTGAATTACTTCCCAAGTGGCATTATTTAGAAAGTAAGAAGTGATTACAAAATTGATTTGAATTTATTTGCACTATGTTCAAGTGTTTTTGTTTTTGTTTTTGTTTTTTATGGGTGTGTGGTATTTTCTTTTGTTTGTTTTATTTTTGTAATTTACATTGAATCTGGTGTCAGACTAGTAGAAAAAGCCCTAAACTGAGATCTTGGATTTAGAATTAATTCTTCCACTAACTCAGGGAGTGTCTCTACACAAGTTACTTCCTGTCAGTGAGCCTCAGTGTTTCCATCTATTAAAAGATGGAGTCTGACAAATTATTACTCAGATATACTATCATTTTTAACCCAGTGCACACAGTGGTATTTAGAGCTCACTCCCCAAAGCCACATATCCTGATGCCAGTTCTCTTGATTTCGGGGTTTGCTGGGTACTTATTGCCTCTGCCCAGGCATTGCCCTTTCCACATTCCTAGTTTCTTACCCCCTGTTCTTTCAGCGCAAAGCATCAGTACATAGAAAAATAGAGTTCACTTAATCCAAGTAATATACTTTTTTGACAATATTATTAACTACCCTTCATTGAGTCTCTACTACTTACCTGAAACTACATTAGTGCAGTATGAATGTTATTTCTAATATTCTCAAGTACACTGAATGTTAGGTATCCTTAGTCTCAGAGTATAGACAAGGACGCTGAGACCTTGATCAAAGTCATATTGCTAATAAATGGCAGTGATATAATTTGAACACAGATCTATCTGGTACTCTTTTTATTCCCCAAACTGCCTTTACGTCATTCATTCACATATTCATTCAGTTGACCTACAGTTATTGAATGCTTCCTATGTACATGGAGTTGTTGAGAGTGCTGGGGATACTACAGTAAACCAAAGACATAAACCTCTTTCCTTTTAGAGTTTACGAACTTTTGTAAGATAAACTATTAAGAGCCAGAACAAGATTATTGCATTTCTATTGTGTGTACTTAATGCAAATCATGCTTACCTACCACCTTCACAGTCAGAGTCCTGGTGAGATGGAAAGTACGTCCATTTTCTGGATATGTGACAACACATGTGTAATTTCCATTATTTGAAATTAAGGCAATGAGAAAACTCAAGTTCATACCTTCAGGTATTACATTATTAAAATTCTGTATTTTATAACAGCCCTAGGAAAAGTAAAAAATAAATAAATCAGTAAAGATGTTTGCTGCTTAGATACATGCATAGAAAATATACAAACACATGCACACTCACATCTAATTTTGCACAGAACATCTAAATATCAATGCTACACTTTTTTACAAAATTATTTTGATCAAGTATTTGACAGTGTTTCTGGAAAGAATAAATGAAATAAATATCATTATCTTTTCTGATAAAGACAACTTAAAATTGTAAACTAATTAAGATATGACTTCAAAAGCACAGACTTACTGTCTCAGGATCCAGTATTCAAATTCTGATAATCCCATGTTGATAATGACACAAAGTTAAGGTTTTTGAAATAATGACTAAGGAAACTTGCACAACTGCAAGAAAACAATTATTTTTCCTTTTCTACATTTCTCCACTGATTATACAGGGTGACCCAAAAGTCTCCATACAAAGTAAAATCTTTGTGAGATTTTGTAATGAATATTTTGCAAATAAGGTACATTTAGCTATGATTTCCCATTTTCTGTATATATAGCAACTTTTGGGATACCCTGCATTAATTCAGGTATCCAGTCACCCTGTCTGATAAACCAGGCACCAACGTAGATGTTTGATTTTGGCATTCTTGATCACTCTATTGAATTGCTTTATCAGTCATTTCTAAACATTTTTGTGTTTTTCTTCTACTTCATCTCATTTGTACAATTGAGTTTTACAGACTGCAAACTCTAAAAATATAAGATGTTTATGAGCCTTATCAAGAGCTAAGAGTTTATTTTTGCTCCTAATTAATATTTTCATATAACTCTAGATTTTAACATTTGAGGTTGAACTATTTTTTTTTTTTTTTGAGACAGAGTCTCACTCTGTTGCCTGGGCTGGAGTGCCATGGCATCAGCCAAGCTCACAGCAACCTCAAACACCTGGACTCAAGTGATCCTCCTGCCTCAGCCTCCCGAGTAGCTGGGACTACAGGCATGCGTCACCATGCCCGGCTAATTTTTTCTATATATATTAGTTGGCCAATTAATTTCTTTCTATTTATAATGGAGATGGGTCTCGCTCTTGCTCAGGCTGGTTTCGAACTTCTGACCTCAAGCAATCCTACCACCTCAGCCTCCCAGAGTGCTAAGATTACAGGCGTGAGCCACTGTGCCCAGCCTGAACTATCTTATTCAACATAACTATAATCCTGTTTTAGATCTCTCAGCTGTACTAACTGGCTTTCTCACTATATATTTTTATTTTAGAGAAAAAAATCAGTACATGATGTGTGACAAAAATATATGTTGAACATTTAGATAATTTTTTTTTCCTTTTAAACACAGATAATTCACTTATGACAAAAATGATTAGGTTACCTCTAAGCCCCTCTAAATCTTTAAAATTCTTTGAGCCTATCACTGACTTGTACTGTCAATTTTCTGTATTCATATATTTAATTTTTATATACTTGAAGTTTTCTTACTTCAATTTCTGGAATATGTGTTTTGAAATATGACAGTAATCACTTCTTGGCCTTTTGGCTAAGGTCAAGTGAAATATGACAGTTACACTAAGAGGCACATTTTGTAATTCTTTGTCACAGGAAGTATATCTTTTAAGAACAGCACTGAACTTTTGTTTCATGGAAAAGATCATCAAGAGGAAGCTAATATAAGCTTAGGTAGGTAATGTTCTCAATGCAATTTCTCCTGCTGGGATAAGCAGTGCTTCTCAATACTTGTCACATCACTGAATGATTTCAATACCCCTAGGTTATCACAAAAGATAAGGCCACACAGGCCTGTACTCTTATAATAAATTTATGTCAGATTTACTTTAAATTATAATATTTTTAGAAATCTATTTAATTTTTATGGTACCTTTAATTTAAATATTTCAAAGATTTTTCCCCCTCATTTATTAGCTTAGCTGTTCTTAAATATCTATGTAGACAGATCAGAGTAAATAGGTTCTAGTTTTATACATGGAAAAAATGAGACAGACAGATAAACACTCTAGATAACACATACAGAGCTGGAACTGTTTTCCAGATGGCTGGATAAAGTTCTTTCTCTAGTTCCTTAACTAAGAATGAACATCTCTCCTCAGTAGTGAGGTGAGGCTATAAAAATTATACTGAGATATACACTTAATATATACGCTATTATCCTTGTTCTAAACGTGCAAAGTTTGTAATGCTCTTATTTCCACTTCATAGATGAGAAAACAAGGCCTAAAAAGTTATGTAAAGGTTAATATCATAGCATGAGGCAGTATTGAAGATAGAATTTGAACCTAGATCGACTTGTTTTAAAGCCCTTGATTTTAATTTCACCTGATACTGTCTCCTCATCCAGTGCAGGGGGCCTGCATCTATGCCATGCCTGGAGCCAGCCAGGTATTAAGATTGTGATATAGCCCTATCACTTAAATCAGACTGTAATCAGTGGAAACTAGAAAGTCAGACTTTTGGGGATAAGAAGTAAATTATTATTACTGAACTTGTCAATAGAGTTTCTTAAGAATGTGCTGAAATGAACTTTTTGTGGCTGCTTCAAAGCTATTAGGTGTGAAATATTTTCGAAAAGGAAATGAAGGAAATATTTTACAATCTAAGTAATATATATGTGTGATGTGGGTAATTCTGGGGCATTGTTGAGCTAAAAATCCCCATTAATTTTAGCCTATAGCCTCGGGTTAGTGCTCTCTTTTTCTTGTAAGCCACTCCATCTCTAGACCCTGTAGCACATGCACCTGGAACACACAGGATATTTCAAAATGTAATAAACTTTCCTAAAAATAAATTCTGCAAATTTTAGTATAATTTCAAAACCATTTGCTTGAAATCCAGAAGAAAACAAATATGAACAATGATTAGGATACCCAAAGAATAGAAAATATGTTTCCAAAGACAAGAAATGAGTTAAAATAAGTGAATTTCCACAATGAAGCAGACATTTTTCTAATTAGGAGACAAACAATCCTTCTAGTTGACCCATCAGTTCCTCATTCTCAAAAGACAGAAGTAGAAAAGTAATTTTTCAATCATGCAATAGTTGCTGTGGCAACTGACCACAGCATATAGGTGAAGAACAACACAAGAAATGACTTTGAGATCCTGCAGCTGAAATGAATCATGTGGGGAGGGGAAGCTTGTGGGTGGAAGAATGTCATGACAAGTAAGAACAAGTGTTTCCATTCAAGAAACATACAATGTGTAAAGAACTGTGTGAAGAAACAAAAATGGGGGAAAAAAACCACAGTTCCTCACTTACAGGCATTCACGGTTTAGTGGGGAATTGCAACAAATACAATAAAAGGCATAGAGGGGCAGGGAAGTATGGAAGAAGATCAAACAGGAAACATTTAGAAAACTTTAATGAAGAAGGAATATTTGGGCTGGATCTTCAAGGACAAGTAGACTATTAACAGCTATTGAGAAGGAAGGAACACATGGGAAAGAAACACTTTGGGCACAGGAAATGATATGAAGAATTCACCTGCAATCTCAGAGCAGTTTCCCCACCCTGTCATTACTGAAATTACTTCATTACATGTTCTATTTTCATGTTGAGCTCCTCCCTTAGAAAATTAACTCCTATGGGAGCCAGTGGGGGTGGATGAGTTCTGTATCTGTACAGCCAGCAACTTGCCCAATACTTGGTGCATGGTAAGTGCTCAATATATTTGTGTTGCATGATCAAAGATGTGAAGGAGAGAAGCCAAGACACAAGACATGGAGTTGACAGCTCATGGATTATATGAGTATATGGAATATAAGACATGGTAGGTTGTAGGATGGATATGGAAAGGAGGAGGAAGGATACAAAGAGTTTATTTGAGATACGAAGTCTAAACAGTTAGGAAAATCTACTAAAGTTTTTGCATCCAAGTTGACATAAAATATATTATACTTTGTCACAAAGTCTCAAAAGAGTTCAATAAACCAGTCACTTCCAATGAACAGAACTAAGTTATCCAATGCTTATACAACAAGTATTTATAAAGTTCTTCCTATGTGCCAGGCACTGTGTTAGGAGCTGGGCATGCAAGAGCCAGTAAAAAATATAAATGGCACCTATTTTCTGGAATTTTACAGTCCAGTCTAATTCATTCAATTATTTAATTAATTCCTAAATACAATATATGTAGGCTCAGTTTTATGCTGTGTGTTTGATATTCAAGGGAAAGAAAGAGAGAGAGAGAGAGGTGAGGGTAGAGCGCGTGCGTGCTCACTGTGGAAGACAAAAGAGAGAAACAAAATCGCTATACTAACAGAGATATGAATTAGGTGCTATCAAGGTACAAAATGGGTGAATTTGTATGGCCTGATATGGCCTCAGGCTTCACAGCTATTTGAACTTGGCTTTCAGTTTAAATGATGAACCTTGGGTCCTCAGAAGTCTTGAAACTGTATGTAAAATGTTTTATGTATACGCATATATGGGATGATATGTGTATAGCTCTGAAAGAAAATATGATATATACTCCCTTCATAGTAAGGGTTAAAAACCCACTACATAGGGAGGGTAGAAAAAAGAAAAAGATTAAGAATCAACCTAACTAAGTTGTCAGGTCAAACTGAAGCAGGCATTTACAAAATCATGTCTACTACATATACCCTGGACTAACTTCCCAACAATATGTGCTATGGCCAACAAAAAGGCCAAGGCTGGCACTTTTTTTGAAATGTTCTTTCCTGATGGGACTTTATCAGAAAATCAAGGATTTTCCTATTTTCTGAATGAGATTTATAAATAATATCTCACTAATTCTGATTAATTTCAAACAAAAATTAGAAGTGGAGGTAATATGCTCATTTTAATGATCACAATGGGTACACGGACAGCCAGCTTTTTTCAAATTTTTATCCAGAATGATATCTATTCTGATAAACAGCATTTGAGAGTATTTCAGCAGCTGTAATACATGTAATATATAAAACTCCCAGTAAAGTGGTTCCTCTGGTCCTCTGTGAGAAGGGGAAATTGCCTATGCTTTTATAAGTGTCTCTAAAAAATAAAAT